AAGAATATACAATGGGTGATTAATCACCAGATCTATAAACAATAGGTTACACAGTCTTATCACTAGCAATAGTTTATAAGGAGGCCTTAAGTCTGACATAAGCAAATTGGCATAAATAACTGGTCAGACTCGAGTGGCAAAACTAATGAATGGTAAACAAGAAAATAGGCCTATAAACAACAAAAAATATGATGATGATAATAATATAATAATGTCAAATAAAATGTCAAGTGGACAAATGACTATCAAAAAAGGCATATAAAAATATAAAAAATACTATCGGCTGTGTGAGAACATACCCTTGTGCATTGTATTTAAAATGTTAAATACAATGTTAAGTACAAAAGGATCCATAGGTAGTACAGCTAGAGAGAAGTGATAAGGATGCTAGCAGGGGTATCTGGATGATGTATGTGTAAAGAGGATAGTCAATTAAAGATTGCAGTCATGATGAGGAATAGAGGTTATCAACTTGTACTGCACTGTTATTATGAATGGTTGCCTTCAGGGAAAAAAAGACATGGGTCTAGTATTAGAAGAGTGAGAATGTTCCGAAACTCATTTTTAATTCAATACTGTATTAGACGTTTCAATAGCCATTTTGAATTTGATCAGTGTAATATGATATATACAGCAATCTTGTTCTAACAAGATAAATAAATCATCAATTTTTATTTTCTACAAAGAAACCAACATTGACAAAAGGGGGATAAAATGATATGATGAAAAAACAATACACTGAAACTGAAAAAGTGTACTTTCATAACTAATGAAAACACTGACTTAATGAAGTTATACCAAATTAATTAATATGTAGCATAAACAATATTTTTAAATTATAAATCTACAGTATTTAGACATAACAACACTATAAAAATATCAACCAATCTGGGGAAGGCAGTTTGGTGAATAAATTTAGAGTGTCAAACATCCAACATTATATTATAGTGATAAGTGCACTTTCTAATCCATGCCTTGTATTTTAATTAAACTTTCAAAACATATTGTTGTCATGGGCAGATTTAGGGGGTATTCCTCCTTCCCTTTTTGACAAGTAAAAAAAAAAGAAGAAATTATTGATCGCGCATAATTCATCAGAGGTTATTTCCGGGCATCTAGAAAACAAAAATTTCTCTAGGATAGTGTTGTGTCTTGATCACCCCTCGTACTGTTATTATTTTGGAAATAAAAAGATTTTTTTTTGTTCTCATTTTCATGTAAGTGTATATACTATTACAATAAATTGTTTAACTCAAGTCTTTATATTATAATATTGGCACTGAATTCTTTTTGGGTTGTGAGGGGGGGGGGAGTGGGTAGGGTGTGCAATATTACTCAATATTACTACTAAATCATCATTTTTTTGTTGTTATTAGATTATTATGTTTGATTGTTACAGAATGTGGGGAGTTTGTTCCTGAAAGCATCTCATATCTTGCAGAGTTGTCGCCGTCACCATGGCGTCCTGGCTGGCTGTATACTGTACAAAAACAGGTAATAATCGATTATCGGAATAAGCATAGGATTAGGAAAAAGTTTGTGTGTATGTATTTGCTTTGTGAACATAGTAAAAATGTCTAGTATGTATTTCATTGGTGCTCTAACCATAGAATTGGGTACAATTATTTTCATTAATGTTGTGTACCTTCAAAATATTCTCTCTCAAACACTGCAGTATGGCCACAATGTACAAACAATGGAGAAGTTATATTGGTTTCCCACAATGCATTACATCTTTTACATAACCTCACTGGGTTTAGAATATACTGTACCCTAAATATCAACAAGTCTAAGCACAATTTTGTCTTATAAAAATGAAAATTGATTATTATATTATTCCACTACTCTGTGGATGTACAGGTTAGTATGTGTTGTGTGTGTATACTCATTTCTTTTTCGACACCACAAAGGTGATTGAATTTCTGGTAGGTAGGTAGGTGTATATCCGGAGTTAGTTTTGACCTAGCCAACCCTATATAAAAAGATACATTCTCCGCATTAAAATGCTTCTACTAAGGCCACGTCTAACCGACACAAATTTTACGAAACTTAGGGTCAGCATTTTAGCTTTTTTTTTTTTCTTTTTTTTTTTTCTTTTTTGACTACAATATTTTTTTTTCATGAGCTTGTAAGGCTGGAATAGCCTTGGATTGGTATAGGGGGCCAAGGCCTAGCCTATTTTGGTGCATGGTATGCGATGCAAATCCTAAATTGTTGTATTATTTGTTTATTTTCTACTTTTTTTCTACACATTTTTGGTTTAAAAAAAAAGTTTTTCTACCGACCTACCTATTTTTTGGATTTTCCCAAAACGTGGCCAAAACAAATATTTTTTTTTTCCCCAAATGGAATGACAACAGTGTTCAAAGACACCTTGTGTCCACCAAACACAACGTTTCAATTTCAATCGTGCAGGAATTATCCATGCTACAGTAAAATATAATTGATGCTGACACACTATCATAATCATCATATGTCTGTGTCACAGATTATATTTGACATTTAAAACGACCTAAATATATAAACTATTAGGTTTCTTTCATACGCAATCTATTTTATTGTCATTCATTGACAGTGTATGTACTATGTCAACAAGACGTCCATACCATTTTAAAGTTTTCAAGATTGGCTTGTTTACAAGCTGCCTACTTATTCTTATTCTTACCATTCTTATTATTTATTTAGGCACACAATACATGTGCCAATGATTGTCAATAGCGAATATATCACTGTCCTACTTGTAAGTGACAATCCCTTACACAAGACAAACATACACACACGGTGCTTTACATAAACTAAATCTCAATATGAGATTTAGGGAGTGGAGTTGTTTTGGTCGTGAGAAAAAATCCTGCAACACTGACAGGAACTGAACCCAGGACCCTGGGATTGGAAGGCAAGCATCTTAAACACCAAGCTATTCAACTCCACTATGGAGTGGGGCTTCGTTTCAAGATGGGCTTCTTCATAATCAGCCCACAAGGCTTCTTTTCAAGGCTTTATTCTAAAGAAGACTATTTTTTATGATTTAAAAACAAAATTCCTCAAAAATCCAACCATTGTTTGACTGATGTGGGTGTGGACTGCCTATTAGGTCCCCCCAAAAAAATTCTGCAACTTTACATTTTTATTGTTCTTATAATTTGTTATATTATATTCCAATGTGTTCATCGTTGTGCGAATGTACATGTAGTACATTGTGAAATTTGAATTTTTTTTATTTTTTTAATAAGACAACATAAAAAAAAGTAAAAGACACGGGCAAGGACTTTATTTATTTTTCTGCTATCTTGCCTGTCAGATTATTTCCTAGATAAATATAAAAATATTTCTCTTATTTGTGATAATAATGGTGTGAAAAAAGCTATAAATAATAAGATAAAATAACTTTTATTGTCCAACATTGCACTGGAAATTTTTTCTCTATTTGAGAATATGAAACACCTAAAATTCACATAAAAACACTGTATGATATAAAAGAAACTTAAAATTCAAAACATTTTAAAAATGAATATTAAAATTAAATATGGCCATTACTTAAAATTACTGTAATTTACTGTAGGTGGTAAGAATAAATAAAAGTTTAAAAATTCCAGACTGAGATTTGTTGTGTGCGTTTAACTCACATAGACCCGATGCGACAACAAATCGCGTCGTACGAAGCTGTCTGAGTTGGCCTTTAATATCTGGGGAGGCCCCGAAAACCCCCATCTAAACAACCTTTCTTAACACTACCTAGCCATCCTCTCCTCATTCTTTAATCCTAGATAAGCCACTGGGCCTGGCATGTGAATTAGATAACAAGGAATGTATCTGAACCATCATTCATTTGAACAAATTATTTTTCTAATATTTTTTAGCGTTCTTTGTAATGAATTTCCAGCTCCGCTACTGTCAAGTTTGTTGATCCAGGCACCCAATCGTGGGCATGTAAGTATGAAAACGAAACTTGCTTTTAATAGTACCGTACTCGACCAGTTTGTCGAAACCCATGGAGTTTGCTGAAACCTAGTTTGCCGTGTCCATGGCCGTTTTGCTAAAACCCAGTTTGCCGAATCCAGTTCACCAAAATCATGACAACCCAGTTTGCCGAATTTTGCTGTCACCTTCGTACAAAAGTAGTTTACAGCATACTGTACTTTTGAAAACATGGTGGGTGGGTAAGGAAGGAGACGTATTTATTTAAAATTAAAAGGCAAAATACTGGAAAACAACTATGCTGAGGTAAAACACACTTGAAGGCATGGCTATCAGTTAAAAATTAGAATAAAAGGAAATGATGAAATGAAGGATTAAACATCGTATGCTGAATACTGAATTGCTTTATATTTTTTTGCTCATAGCCGAATGTTAATCAAGTTTGACTTACAGAATAAGACAAAAAGAGTCATTAAATTACTGTACAATAAGCCGCTAGTTATTGTACGAAAGCACAGTGATCAGATCATGTTGAAATAATGGCTTCCAAATTTTCAATGTTGCAATTCTGGCCGGCCCTGACTTTCCACTGACACCACCACCTTTCTTATAGAGAGTGTTCTATGTAAATTTTATGCTGCTGTTAATGTTTCACTGCTTTAATTGGGTTTCACCAAACTGGGATTCTTGGTTTTTGAGTTGGTAAAATTGCATTTGGCAAACTGGGTTCTGGACTGGATCCATTCATACACCCACCATAAGCAGTGGCTATACATCTATGAGCTCTCACTGAGATAAAGGCAGGGGGCCTATAGACAGGCAGCTTAGGGCCATATTTGAACTGAATGTGGACGTTCCTGACAAAAGCACCAATTGTTTTTTACATGCTCATTAAGGTTATAGCATTTAATTTTTTTGTAGGCCATCTTGGGACTTCAATATGGCTGCCTTATGAAACCTATGTTTATCTATATCTCTGCTTCGAAACCACTTAGAATTGTTGACATTACTGAGCGTCTTAATCTGCGGTGGTGGACCTTTAATATGGTTTGACCCTATTTCTAACCCTCTACACTTTTTGAATCCTTAGGAGTTTTAGGTTTAGACATAAGAACCAGAACAAGGACCATTGCAATAATGGAGAACTTGTTATAGAGTGAGCCCAGACAAGCATCCAGGTGTGATAATGCTATAATTGACCACAGAAGTTAAAATTATGCCTCAATGGGAACAGATTTTGTGTGAATATAGTGTATTATGAAATGGTAGAAAAATTAATTGTTCCTCCGCATGAATTGAGATTTTTATTATTTGGTTAATAAAGACAATACAAATACATAAATAATCTCTACCTTGTTCTACCTTATGCCTTGTTGTGTAATACTGCACAAACTGGTTTGGCACTTTCCTGAAAAAAAACATGAGCTATTGTATTGTGCCAAAGTCTTCGATGCTTCAATTATGAAGTTTGCCCATAAGACGAAGCAGCAGCAGCAATTGTTTCATAGGTTCAATCTGATATCAAAACATCTAAGCTTGATCAACCAGTAGCCAAAGCTTTCAGTTCAGCTGGTCAGGCCTTTGTGGATTTCAGAGATATTGGGGTGACAAAAATTGTAAGAATAAAGAAAATCACGGGGAACTTTTACTTATAACCCCACAACACTTTTTGGTCTTAATATTGGGAAAAGTTCTCCCAGTACACTAAATTTAGCCAATGGCATTCTAAATTTTATCTATAAACCATTTGGTGGGCCTCTGAAGTTTAATTTTTCACTCACTGCCCTATCTCACCTTGCCTATTGCTTCTAATCACTCTTGCCTTACTTTTCCCTTTACACCATCTGGCCTTACTTTTCCCTTTACACCATCTGGCCTTTTCTACCTTCTACTCACAACTGAGGAAGGACTAGTGTTGTCCAAAAGCTCTTGTTCTATTTCTGGCGTTTACTTTCTAGCTGTTGCTTATCAAATTTGTATTACTACCGAGATCCAGCCATTGTTTCAATATTGCTAAATATAAAATGCATCCTCCAATTCAAGACCCCTCTAATACGAGACCTCTTTTTCAAAGAACCAAATTTTATTTTTTATTTTTTATTTTATTTCAATCGTCCAACAGGAACTCTTCGTTCCCACTTACAGGCGAAAATTGTAATAAAAATATATAGAAAATATAATATAATCAGTACAATAAATTCACAAGACATAAAAAATGAAATTAGTAGTATAAAATAAAATCAAAGTCATCAATCTTTTAACACAATTAAATCTTAACTCTCAAGCATTGAGGTCCAATTCTTTCCTTCATGTCCACACACTCATACCCACAACCATACACACCCACATTTAAAGGATAGTTTAAAGGATTATGTGAAATTGACAACCAAGGATGAGAAAAATTTGCATATATTTTTTCAATTAAAAAAAAAATATTTTTCAAAGTAAAAAAATTTTTCAAGTAAAATTCAAAACCACCTGGGACCTGAAACTTGGGATGTGTCATAATTTTGTTGAAAAACTATGTTGTGTCAAAAAGACAATTTTGGCATACAACGATATTGATTGGTAAATTATTGGCCCGGCTAATACTGGACCAGCTTTACCGCTTCCTACGCCCTTGTTTGTTTTTTGGATTTTTTTCAATTTATGGCATCTGCTTTAATCCTGTTGTATTTGTATATTCACTTTCTATTTTATTTAGACTTTTTAATTTGAGATGAGATAACATGGTTTATTGATCTATAAAACAAAAGTTATTTCAGTCATTGATTGGGAAAATAGTGCCATTAGAAGCTGTTATTGTTTTCAAAAATTAACCCTTTTTCCCCCATTGAAATTTAAATCATAATGCCTAGACCTAAAACGATTGCAAGGCATTAAGCCGGACACAGTGCTATTTCTAAAAAGCAACATGAAGAGGCATACAGTGGATTATTTTTTAATGATAATAAACTCAGACTGACATCAACAGTTATCAGAGAGTGTTGCATCGTCAGGGCACCTTTTCTCTTTTTAATATTGTTTTAATATAGCTTATGTCTTTGTTGCAGTAAAAAAAGTCACTCAACAGTGTTGATGCCACATTTCCCAGTAGACTCTAAGAAACATAGGAATATACAGCTTAATATTACCGCAACAATAAATCAAGTAAATATTCCCACATATTTATCGGTGAATTTATTAGCATTTAGGCAGAGCTGGCCCAGCCATTTTTTTTTCTATGTAATCGACTGATCATTGTTTTAGAGTCACTGACCTTATTCAATGCTTACTGACTGACGCAATGAAATATGCACTAAGAGAATAAATTATTTCTGAAAATCCTTTTGCTATTATTTCTATGTGAATAACAAATCCAAATAAGCACAAGAAAAAGAATCTAATTATCAACAACTTAGCAGTGTTTTGAATAGTGATTCAATTATGTATCATGTTTCCTATGGTAAATAAATAACCAATTGTCATATCTTACATACTCTTATTTTCCTATTGATTTTGATCTTAGGGATATACTCTGATGAACTTGAAAAATATTTCAAGAATTCAATCAAAAGCCTTAGTTTTAGATTATTCTGACTGTTTTATCATCATCATCATGACCTGTGTCATTGGACGTTGGCGATCATGACTTTCCACAATTCTCTGTCTTTGGCAAAAATCTCCCACTCTCAAATTTAGCTTAGGTCTATCTCTACCTCTCCTTCTAGTGATGTATCTTGTTATTGTGTTATTGTTGACAGATGAGAGATAGCTGGTACCGGTTTACCTGGTAGCTCAGGCACAAAGAGACCCTTATTAGTACTTTTCAAGCTAATCCACACCTCAAGCGTTTTGAGGCTTCAGTATAAAGCGGTATATAAATCCAACCACATTACATTATTTAAGGGTTTCTTTTCTTATAAGATGGTGTTTTATAGATCATTAAATTGATTACATCCAATGTAAGTGTCTATGTAGTTGTAATTCATTTTTTTTTTATATGAAGTTTTTCATCCGCCTTCAATAAATATAGTTTCTAACCACTCCAGTAACTAAACTATGGGCACTTTGGGGTGCTCGTATTTCGACCAGAACTGGATAAAAAGTTTGGGCAACCTATTCTTCGGAAAGATGCACTGGGCTCTTTAAATAACACACGAGCCATCCTTCAGATTTGAGTCCAAAACCATGAGCAAGGAAGGTCTTGAACCAGTGGCAATGATTTAGGTTGTAGCACCCTTACCTTGACCATTCGACCACTTGACTGTCATTCAAGGGTTTGATGAATTTTCACGATAAACACTCAAGTGAATATTCATTTCCTTTTTTTGGTAAACAGGAAATTTGTGCATTCAAACACTATCAAGAAAAATAACATAAAACAAAATGAAAATACATCCACTAAACGATTTACATCCACTATAATTACCCAGCAATATATGCTTCTTTTTATTATACCTACCATAATTAACAAGTTATTTACTGAATTGTCAGAAAAGGCATCATTTTTAAGAAGATTAAATTTACTTTTCTTTAAAATATTAGAAGCAGAAAATTCAAGACAACTCCATAATAAGATGTCACAATCCGTTGATAACAACAAAAAAAAACTGTTTACTGTTATGGAAATCAATCATTATCACTTAATGTAAAAGACTTAGATATTAAAACCTTTGACAGCTTATGAGATATAAATGGTATTTATCCAGATCGATGTAATTAAAGGGTAAATTCTTGCGTTACCACGTATTGATACATTAATGATATCATCATACTGTATGTATGTAAAGCAATTTTGTATCTGTTTCCTATTTACTTGTATGAATATAATAGAAGTATTACAAATTTAGCTACCTATAATCTATTATATGTTTTTTTAATGATTTGTACTGTTTTCAAATATACTACAGTATTATTTAGTATATTGTCATTTATAAGTATGGAAAAAGTTATAGGAATTAAAAATAATCCCATGCTATAATTTAATATCAGACCACATTCATCCTTATTATTCTAAATATCCTGACTTTGTATATTGTGATTGGTGATTGGTGGTAAATAAAAAAAACCTTTAAAAATTGTATTATATATTTAGGAGGAGGCACAATTCCAATAATACCACATCATCATTGTTTAATTTTCCAATGTTTTTTCCTAGAAAAAAACATTTAAATAATATTACATAACATTAATACTAGGAATATCATAGCTACATAACATGTTTAATAAATCTACAAAGGAAAAAGGACTGATGAGATTTATAATTCACAATTGTAACAGATTGTAGGTTAAAGTTTTATTATGGATAATTTGGCAATATAAATCATCTCAGTTCAAACATTAATTGTAGTTAATTTTGACTATTTTAAAATTGATTATTATAGTTTAACATTTATTTTTACTTGTTTTATTTCTCTCATCGATTTTCAGTTGCCTTTTTTAGCAGCTGATACTGATTTTCCACTACCAAAGGGAATTGCTATCTTATCTGTTTATCTGAGACCTGAAGAATTTAATATCATCTGTCATGAGGAGTCTGTGGTTATTGATCAACAGCCAGCTTCAACATCAGTTATAGAACCACTAAATATCGATTCTAATTTATCTAAAAACAATCAACAAATTCCAAAAGAAGACGGTTCACTAGATATTAAACTTTCTTTGAAAGATTCTGGAATAAGTCATCCTACCAAGGCAAGTGATCTTGAGGTTATCAGAATAGAACAGACATCTCACAGTTCAGGTGAAGATGATGGACATGTTAAAGGCAAGGGTGACACACTACATATGGGTGATAGTGTCACTGGTTCTACTGTTCTACCAGAGTGTGTTAGATTTATTGGACTTGAAGAGACATCACAGAATGATAGTGACATCTTAAATGACAGGAAACCTGCAAAAGAGGGCGGTACTTTAGAACCGGTGAAGTTAAATATGCACGATTTGCATGATATAAATAATTTTCATAAATTGAATTCAGGCACAATTCTCAATAATATAAAATGTGAACCATCTCTTCCTGCCCAGAAAGTTATAAAAGACATCACTGCCACAAAGAAAATTCAAGGTGTAGGTGAAGAGACATCAGATCTGTCGACATTGGAGATTAAGGAAGTGGAACTTGGTGATGTTGTTTCTGGTACTGTGAACAAAGTACTAGGAAATGTTGACAACAAACGTAGCTTTGAAATTCATTCTGTATGTGAGAATGACAGTCAACCAACAGAAGCATACAGTGAAGGAAAATCCAGCACTGAAATTTATTGTAATCACACTGCAAAATTTAGAGGTCTACAAACTGAGTGTTCCCCTTCCACACAACAGAATATACACATATTGACTGAGGATTTGAACATTTGTTCTGTTTGTGAAAAGTGTAGATATCAAAATAAGTTAGAGTATTCAAATAATGATTTAACCAGTCAAAACCAGGTTAAAGAGGTTTCTGAATACTTAGCTCCTAAAGAATACTCTGCAACTGGAAATACAACTTCCAGTAGCCTGCAAACAACACATCAGAACAACCAAAAAGATGTTGCAGGTCTACATAAAGCTGAAATTGATATCCAAACTAGTAGACATTCCACAGACTTTGAAGCAGCTTCATCAGAAGTTGATATAAAACAACCTTGTGAACCATCAAGTGATGATAGTGTTCATCATGTACCATCAGTTACTGGAAAGCACCATTATGCACCATCAATTACAGGAGAGCAACATCATGTACCATCAGTTAGTGGAGAACATTTTTCTGTGCCATCAGATGCCAAGTTTGATGGCAAGGGATCCTTTGAACCAATGAAGGCATCGGATGAATTGGTAAGCTGTTTTTTTTTTTTTTTCATTTTTTCATTTATAGCACTTAACAATATATTGCAATATATAGGGGAAGGGAAGACAAAATATATCCCTATGCCTAATATTAATATAATGTAAATAATGAACTTGTTCACAGATGATTGATTAAAAGTATGTTCACTTATGATTAGTTTGCTTACTTTTATTTATATAATGCTAGCTATTATTATAAGCTGACTTGTCTAACAATAACATTCTGATATTTTTTTTACCAGTATCAATTAAAGAAATGCAGCCTATATGTGCAGGCACATTCTGAAATGGTACTCCTTGCACTAATGGACTACAAACTCCGAGATAATTCTCATGTCATAAATAAGTTGGTGAGTGTCATTATCATGCATCCATAAAGTTATTATAATAATAATAATATGAACCTACTTTTATGTGATTCGCCCTCTTGTACACCGTAGAGCTGTAGCCAAACACATGTTAGCACTAAACAGCATACTTTGATGTTTTTGTTGAGTTTTTCTGATGAAAGAATTTTTATTATTACATTACACAAGGGCGGATCCAGAGATGTCCGAAAAAGGCTGGGGGCCGAAAGAGTGCCGATCGAGAGACAACACTACTCTAGGCTGTCCAAGGGGCATGCCCTGGAAAACTTTCGTTTTCTAGACACCCTCTGAGGCATTTTGAGCGATCAATAATTTCTTTTCTTACTTTCTAAAATCTAAATCTAAAATCTGCCCCTACTACAAATAGGTATAAAAGAGAATTGGAAGTTGTGAAGATCGGGAGACTATCATTAAGGGCAGAGGCTGCAAACAAGTGCCACCCAGCAAATTAAATAATTTTTGAAAAGTTGAAAAGAAATAGAAATGCATGAAACATTTTCCTTCTTAAAATAAAATACAAAATCTCATTTTTATGTTTTGTACAAAAAGTAATGTACAAACTTTTCCCTCCTTGAATAGATTATAAAAGCCGAATCATATTATAAGTTACATATAATTAGAAAAATCAACCAAACCAAACAACACAAATTCCATCTTAATCTCTAGGCATACATAGCATAACAGTTTTGAATGGGACATGTTTCAGTATAATCAGAAATAACTTTGTTTTAGTATGTGGAAAAACCCTTACTTGAGTATTTTTTTAGTTATAATGTTTTCATTATACCGGTAGCGGTGGTGTATCGAATACATTTCTTTGCAAATTCATTTGCATATTGTATATATTGTTTTGTGTTCATGTATTATGTGAATGTATGTTTGAATTCGTATGTAATGCAAGATTTTGGAAAAATTAAGCCTCCAATTTCCAGCCATCTAGCAGGTTATTTATGTATCTGTGATAAAACTTCAATTGACAAAGTTTTATGATTCAATATTACATAATTTCAGAAGATTAAGTGTCTTGAAAAGAGGCTCTGTGAGCATTATGTTTAATTAGCATAATGATATGTATACCTTTTTTTCTGCAAAGTTACAACACTTTTACAGGTATATCCCTAGGCTAGTAATCTATAGTGTATATGTAAAACTAATTAGTGAATTATACAAAATTACCATCACATTTATTTTTCCAGACAACTTGGTGCAATATCGCTTTTGTGTATTCATGACAGCCATTTTATTACAGATGATGAATAACTGTAATCATAGCTTGTTACTTTGGCACTTTTCAGTGTTTTTTTTATACCATTTTATGATACACATAACTCTTTGCTTTTTCTTAATTATCTCCCTTGTTATTCCCTGTTGATAAACACTATTGAAAAAACTAATATTCACTTTTCAAGTTTGTTGCGACAAATATCTGAGATATGCTCATATATGAGTACGATATTACATCATCATGTCCATATATGGGTGTGATATGACATCATGATGGCCCTACAGTGTAGTACATTTGTTTGTGTGTCTTGATTTTCTCAAAACATACTTCAACAATAGCTTATTTTTATCTAATGCTATTAGCTAATCTCTGTAAACTTCAAATAACATTTGGAACTTCGATAAAAGGTAAAAAGGTTACAAACTATGAATAGAGATATGCTACTACTTTGAAGTGTGTTGTACCATGTACCACTATCTCTTGTAGGGATGCTGGATTTGGCGGCACCTCAGCCCCACCATGGTTGGGGCTACGGGTCGAAAAATTTTGAGAATATTGACCTCTAAGTGCCCGAGAATTTGCACCCTGATACCTCAAAAATCTACTGGTAATTTATATCAACAATACAATACAACAATTATTTTTCTTAATACAACAACCGTGTCCCCCCCCCCCCCCTGCATCCACCCCAGTACGTACAGTCCATCATGCATATACCTTATTAACAATAACGTTCAGTTTAATTAAGCTATTTATATTTTAAAATTAGCCAGTGGCGGATTCCCCTAAATTTTTCAAAATTATGAAAATAATTAAGAAAAAAGGAAAATTATGATTAAATTTAGGTATCTTAGTACCATTTCCAGCCATCTAGAGGTGCCAGAAACATAAATCTTCTTTCCTCAGCCCCAACCATTTTTGGGCTGAGATGGCCTAGACCCTCTAGTTGTTGAAGTCACTTCTTGGGATTCTCTTATTTTAGATTCCGTGATCCGCCACTGTTAACTACATCTCAAAAGTGGATATATTGATCGATTGATTGATTGACTGACTATTAGAATGACTGATTATCTAATTATAGTAATAACCCCAATTTAATATCTCTCTATTACTATTAGTGTGATTAAAACATGATAAAAACAATGGAAACAAATTTGATTCACATAAAAAACAATGGTAGAAATAATTGTTGATAGTATTAAACACATTGTGAGTCAATCATCCCGTTGGCTGATTCAGGGGGTGGGGAGAGTTGCCTTTCTATTTTGTCGCTTATTACACCACAAGCTAATACATTTTTTCATATTTTATTGCACATACTCAAGGATATTCTTATAATCTGTGTCAACAGCATGTACTTTACACATTTTCTTGATTTTCATGAACTAACACAAACTACGTTGATTGTGTTAGTTCGTGGAGTGAGCGATAGTTTGTCCAGCCACTTGAGCCTGGATCTTCCCTTCCTTTGTGTTCCTACATTAAAATTTCTGTTGAGATTATTAGCGATTTTTGCAATTTTGATTCATACAAATGGGAGTTAGTATTTTTGTATTTATAATCTAGTTGTCAAGAATAGTAATTAAGGTGCGTTATGTGTTTATGTATTTTTTTTATGTACTTTACATGTGTTTTGTATTTATTTTATATCTTATATGTATTTATGTGTATTTATTAAATACACATAAATACATGTGTATTTTATATGTACTTTTTATGTATATTTTTTTTCTATAATCTTCATTGCCAAAAACACCATCATTATCATTTTCTTTCATTTTAGTTAAAAGACTGTAAATTAGCATATCTTGCCTATGAGTAGCAAACATGTTTCTTAGCATTTAACAAAATATCTTTATTTCAATTTTTATTGTTATATTTTAGTGGAAGATGGCACTTCCATTGATGGGTGATTTGGAGGCAGAACTAAACCAAGTAGTGAATTCACCAGTATTAGTGGTAAGGATTTGTATTAATGTCAGTATGCTTCAGATAAGGACCTTATGTAAACATCATTAATGTGTGAGGTTTCTTAGTACGGTACTATAAATAATTATTACTTTCCTTGTTGGTTGTAATAAAATATCTTTTCATCATTGATACTTAATGATAACCTTCTTCCTAAAAATACTGAAAAAATTGGTTGGATCTAATGATGAAATAGACTAAAAACAGGACATAGGGCTTTTCGTCATTGCCATAATGAGAACTTATGTTGAATTTGCGAAGGAATAAATGTCATCAATAAAATTATAAAGTAAAAAGTACATGTAAAACTAAAATAAATCAATAACTGGTGGACAGAAAACCCCAGTGCAAAAGATAGGAAAATGGGATAAAAGAAGGGGAAAAAATGAAAACAATACAATGGCTTTTCCACTGGTGCGGGAAAAGCCAATAAATGTGACCGAATCTTGCAAAACCTTACATTTGGCTGCATTTAAAACTTTGTGCTAGCCTCCATAATATCCCCAGGATCAGCATTTATCAGTTTCAGGTTATGCTGTTTATGGTATATGTAATATTGGAGAACAGTTCTACAAAATATCAATCGTTAAAATCTAACTGATCTAAATGAAAAGTATATTAAAATATTTTTGAAATATTCAGCTCAATATGCAGATAATCTAGCAATTTGATATCTACAGTATTTGAGTTCCATAAATTGTAACAATTTTATGTTTTTAGGATGAGACAAAGACTTACAGATTCATTCAGTTTAACCAGCTTGATCAGAGGCTCCGAGGTAAGAACCAGAAATACCTAACAATATTTTCTTATTTTATTTATACATTTGTTTATTTGTAAATATTTTTGAATTGTTCTGTGTAACTTTTAAATACTTATTTTCTTATTTTTAACTTTACTATTTAAAATTTTTTTTTTTTTTTTTTTTTTGTTTCACAATAAATTTTTCTTTTCCATAGTTTGGTAAATTTATTTGTTTAGTGGTTTGCTAATTTGGTATTTTGTGTAGTTATTTGTTTATTATGAAATCCTCTGAAAGTGTCACATTGATGGAAAATGATGTTTAAGGTGATGTATTTTCAAATATTTGTGCAGTAAATTCCATTCACATATTGAACAACTGAGCATTGTGAAGTTGTGTAGTATACAAATTCAACAAGGTTTGAGGTAGAGTAGTGAATTATAATTCCCAAGGAGTTGGATGATTAGGATTATCTCCTATTGTGAAGAAAAATGCTGTTATTATCTAATTAATATTTAATGGGTATATTAGTTCTATTTTCAATATAATCGGCAGATAATGTCGCGCTTTAAGTAAGCAATAAAAATCTAAACCAAATCAATCAATCAAAATCACCATGGAAACACAGTGTTTTAAAGTGAACAACACCTGATTGATTTCAAGTGACTTTTAAAATTCCAGTGTGGCAGGTATGTGGAACCTGGCAGGCTGTTTCAAAGCTTGGGAGCACATACTGCAAAATATTAATCTTTGTTGATCCTAAGGGTGGGTGAGTAGGACAAACAATACAAATACATTTTTTTGCGACCAAATAATTCATTCCCCTACTCACAGCAAAACATGCTGTTAGAAACACAAAATATCTGTGCATATTTTGCATAAATCTTCTGTAAAACTTTCTCAAAAGTGCTGAATAACCTTCCATATTGATTATCCACAATTTTGACCAAAAAGAAAATTCTGGTTAAGAGAAGTAAGTTAGGCCTGAGGTGATAATCAATATATACATTTAATTTACCAGATGCTGTGGCTTCGTCAGCTCCTCATATTTATAAAGTATCAATGTAATTTTGGACAGCAAATACTGTGCATCTCTACCACATGTATTTGGTAGATACAGCTATGCAGTACTTTACTTCATTAAGGCAACCAAAAATGCAAATGGGCTTTTCCGCTAAGTCCCACCCCTTGGATACTGTTGCTAAGGTCTCACAAAAAGTTTAATGTAAACATTTGTGAACATGTGCGTTTGTGTGACATGTACATTTGCGGGCTAAGCATGTGTTCTTAGGAATACTCTGATTGGCCAGTTGTTACGTTTGATTAACACTTGAGGGAAGGTGCAATGAGCACATTCAGCGTATGTAGTTGGTGCAGTAGCTATGAAAAAGAACTGATCACACTCAGCCTGGCGATTTTGCCTGATCACAGGCAGTGGCAGCTCTAGCATAGTTACCAACCTGAGAGATTTGAAATGCGCGACTACATCAGCCGGGCTGTGTGGGGGGGGGGGCGCCAGGCCAATTCCCCGACGGGATCCAGAAATTATTACGAAAACTCTCTAATGACTCAAGTTACTGCATGACCGTTTTTATATATTTAATAAAACCAATTTCTTCTAATTTTAAATACATTTTCCCATGAATTCGTGAAAAAATTCGTTCACCACGCATAGACTTGCGCTAAATGCGTAACAAATATATGATCACGAATGTGTTTCAGCAAAATGCGTGTTTCATCTAAAATCACTTTGAAATGCGGGACCGTCCCGCGCGATGCGAGACGGTAACTATGCTCTAAGATTCATTTTCTGTGGGGAGGGGAACTAAGCTGTCAAACAGGGGGCTTGAACTTGTATGCCTGAGGAGTGGGGATGTTTGGAAGAGGGTACGTTTGGGAGGGGGACTCACCTCCCAAATGTTTTTAAATAGGGACCTCTGATGGCCAGAAATGGCATTCTACATCTTTGAAAAACATGTTTTGGCCTATTTTTAAATTTTTTTTTTGGTCCGAATGCCCGATGAGCTTGGCCGGGGGGAGGGGGGTCTTAAGCTCCCTGCCCCCTAAATATAATTTTATAGTCTGGACAGGACTTAAGAAAGGTGGTTGCCAAGCCTGAGAGGCTCCGGCATTGGTTTATCCCATCGACCTCCGTAGTAATAAGAAGTTCAAGAGTATTACCTACAAAGATTGAATGGTTTAATAACAGCCCTTAACCTTACCTGATCACCTTCATAATCAGTAATTAATGTGCCCTGCAATTGGCTTGTCTCTGCATAGCTGGTGAAATATATCTATGACGTTAGTGTTTTATTCTGTTATTATTTTTAATATTTTAATTGTAATTTAACATGAACCTATATTTATAAATGTGAATGAATAAATTGGAATATAAATATTTTGGGCTTATTTTCAACCTATGATACATACAAAATTTATATTGGTAATAATAAGAATAATATTATTATTACATTAAAATACAGCTGATATAGTCACATAAATATACACAAATAGCGTATTCTATTTACTAATACTGATTCTGATATACGTTGGCCATGAAAATAATAAATATTTATTGTAATTAATAACATCGGCTCTCTAGCATTGGAGCGCAAAGCTATAATGATCATCTACTATAAATATTATGTAACGTTTTTAAATCACTTTATATATTGTAAAAATAAAGATTTTATCATCTCTGCTTTCATAATTTTATGATTGTATTTCTCATAAACTCATATACTTGCCCTCTAGGGAGTGAATAAAGGTCGTTTTGCAGTGTACTTAATAACGATGGTTTATGAAAATATGTATTTTAAACTTGCAGAACATTAAAATTCACTAAATATAATATGAAAATGTCAAAAACTGGAATTCTGTGCAATGGAAATGTGGAATTATGTATCATATGAGTAGACTCTCAATCTGATTATCTTCAGTGCAAGATGAAATAATTAATATACACTTTCTAGTCAGTTGTCTATACCATGTACCTATTAGTATACTAGTATACTGGGTAACTAGTTTCAACTGGTTTCCAATAACTATGTTCCATGTAATGTAATGTATATTAATTTGCTATCGCACCTACATACAGTCTCAATGCATTGTTTGGTGATGAAACAGAATTACAATGTGTTTTGAGACAGTTTTTCAAAATGTTGAGAGAAAGGGAGTTCCATTTAGTGTGTCATAAATATTATTTTATTGTAGCCCGGTTAAAATAATTCCTGCACAATTGTAAACAGTACTGAGTTTTGTCAACAGGATGTTTTAGAGCATCCAATTTGTAGAAACCGTGTACTGGAACAGGGGCCAGATTTATCAAGCTAGAAATCAGCTTAAATTCGTCTTAAGTCCATTTTTTTGCTTAAGTAAAATTTATCCATATTGCTTACCTTAAAAATTGCTTAAAATTAGAAAGTCGATTGTATGTTGGCGCCATCTAAGACGATTTTTAAGCCAAGATTTTGCTAAGATTGGGTAATAAATCAGCTTAAGATATTTATTAGGGACATCTTAACTTTTTTGACTTAAGACATTTGCTAAGCTGAGATTGATAAATCCCGGGCCAGGCGTATATAATGCGCCTATTTCCTTGTGGTTATAAAGTGCACGCCAAGTTACATTATTATTATTATTATTATTATTATTATTATTATTATTATTGTTATTATTATTATTATACCAATGAAACGTATACATATACTATATTGACTTTTGTTATGTTATCCAATTTTCTTTGCAATAGGTTCTACAGGATCATCATAAGCTCCAATTTATTTTGTTATTATGTTTCTCAGTCTATATTGCCTGTAGGAAACCTTGAACTGTTCGGTACGAGTTCATAGTCCAGCCAACTAGGAATGCCAGTAATTTAACATACAGGTGCTTCATTTTCAATGAATATAATCCATTGTTGTTGACTAGAGATACCCATCCATTGTAGATAATGTGTTGGAAAAACACGTGGAATTCTTAGAAACGTATATTTATATATTCAGTATATATATGCTGGTGAAGTGTAGGATAACTGTCTGTTTTATTTTGTTAAGGAATCTAATTTGCATTACATCTTGCTCTACAGGATCATCTTAAGCCCCAATTTTTTATCTTATTATTACTCTTAAGCCGATACCTGTTCAACTATAGCCATACCGTTCATAAATGCTTTCATGTATTTAATGAGATTTGGTAATGTGATAGGTATGCTTATTTTAACATGACTTTACCCGACCTGACAGCACTAAAGAATTAGATCACAGAAGCCACCAGCTTTATACACCCTCATATATTTATAGCACAACAAAGTTCCTTATCCAAGAATGGAGCTTGTTGAGCCTTTTTGAGATCAATATCGACATTGTTAATGTTTCCTGTTTTTCATAGTTTCCGACCATTGTACTATAACTAATCAGTGCTAGTTGTTGCAGTATTAAAGTAAATGAAGTAATTGTTACTCACCTCTGTACTTTTTGAAGGATATTCCGGTTCCATTCACCAGGAGGAGTATGGAACAAAAGGTGAATTCTGTTCTGTTGAATGGAATCAAAATTTCCTGAAATTTACCCCACATTTCCGAGAATTACCGGCATATCTAAAGTACATTTTTCAAAGAATTTCATCTGGTTCCATAAATATAGTAGAGAATTATCTGTTCTATTAAAGTACTTTTATTTGTCTTTGATAATTAATGCATATTTATGAAATACTTTTATTTAAGAAAGAAATTAAGTACACACAATGAATCATTATTTAATTTATTATTTGTTATTTCCATTTCCATGATCTATGCTTTTGTCTTTGTTCATATCTGTGTTTGTATCCCATTGGAAATAAGATGTTTTATTTTTATTACAACTTTCATGGGTCATTTTGGCATCTTTGATTCATGTCTGTTAAATTGATGCCATCTTTTGAGATTTTACGAAAATTAATTAATTTTAATGTATGTATGAATATATGACCATTTTATCTAGAATTATTAGTAAATAATAAGCCTTTTCATAGTTTTATCTCTATTTTTAATACTGTGATTCTGAATAAAGAATTTCCACAAAGCTATTCAAGTGAGCTCAGATGCATTTTTACAATAATTATTTTGTAATGGTTCCTATAATTACAGTATATATTATTATAGAGTATTATCAATCAATCAATCAATCTGTTGTTCATTTATATGTTGTCATTCCAACAGGCGTTGCTCGCAGTCAACGTTCGATTTACCCAGTATCACATCGCAAAATGCGACGCGTTTTAAACTAATTGCGAAGTACTTCCACAAATGCATCATAATAAAATGTGACGCAATTATTTGCCTGGAATTTCAGTCTGCAGCAAGGCCTGGCTGTAAAAACTAAGTTTTGGTGCACAAAAAGTCCAGAAAATTGTTTTAAAAACAGTCAAAATCAAGTTGTTATCTAATGTTTAGGGCCAATAATAGCGCAATATGCTTGTTTACATCGAGTGCACACATACAATGCTACATGTACATCTTTGTTCATGCAGCTGGTTTGAGTACGAGTCGGCTTGTTTTCTGCGTTTACAATATTACCTCATATTTCACCACTCCTCTGTTCTGCTTCTCCTGTAGATCGCTTTCGCTTACACACGTATTTATACAGTGAGGAGTAAAGTTGATTAATGTCATGTATGTATCGTACTTTCGCAGCACGTGTAGATGTGTGGTATCAAATTATCTTACTTTTTTTTCTCTGTGCTGTTTACTCTCGCTATTTGAAACAGGGCCGGACATTGCTTGCAGTGAATAAGTATGACAATGGGAGTGAGACAAGCAAATGGCCAGTGCTTGTCAGAGTTGTCACATGGTCGGTAAATTGGTAATCACCATCTGTCAGGTTGACTTCTGCACGGGGTGGGCATGGGAAATTTAAATAAAGGGAATATTATGGGGTATGTTTCAAAGTTGTTTACCAAATAATTGAGCACAGTTGCGATTCCAGTAGAAAATGGTGTATCAGTGATATTTATTGAAACATTAAAATCAGTGAGGATGTGCCAGTGTTTTACTTAAATTACTTTAGTGTTGAAAAATAAAGATGCATCAATGTGATTTTCTTATTGAAAAGCGTCATTTCTTTTCTTGAATAATCATTCATTATCTCAGCAGAAAAAATGCTATGCACAATTTCGGAATTGCTACACAAAACAGAAAGTGCATAGCAATTTTTGCTACACACAAAAAATGCTGGAAATCGAACGCTGCTTGCGGTGCCGTTCCAAAAAAAAGAGAAGCGGTTTGGCACAGCGTGAAAGGTTTGGTTTCCCAACCTTGAGGTCGGGGTTTCAATCCCTCGCTGTTCACATCCTTTAGCAAGGCACTTTATCTGCTTTGCTTCTCTCCACCCAGGAGTATAAATGGGTACCTGGTGGGGTTGATTGCTCCTGTGCTGACTACAGCAGCAACACTTAAGCATTTGAGTCCAATGACCAGGAACAAAAGCGCTTCGTATCTGCAAAGAAAGCCGCTATATAAATAACTAAGTATGAAATATGAATTTTAAAATATGCATCTTGAGTAGTGATGTAAAACTGTTAAAAGTGAAGGTGATTGTTTAATGTTCAGATGAAGTTTATTCCAGAGCCTCGCTCCAGCAGTGCTGAAAGCCTGATCTGCCCAGCTATTATACAACATAATATATTTTACTGTTGATTTTAATTGTGTGAAAATTTAAATTTCCTGTTTTCTCATTTTTATGGAAGGTGTAAACTTCACTGAGAAGAGTCTGGTGGCATCATCATCATTTTCCTCCCCACTTCAAATAATGAGTGATCAGTTTCAGCGAAATGCCAGGATATCAGATCTGACCTTAAGGTAAATAGCAAACATTCAAATTAAGCTCTATCTATGATCAAGATTTATATGACAAATGTGAAGTCTCACCACAAAATGAGTCTCATGGTTGCAAAATCAAAAATTGAGTTCACATGACATTATAAACATTAATTTGGTCTTTTAATGGCTTTCCCTAGGATATTAGATCCTGAGATGTGAGTATTTGAAATTTAAGTGTATGACAACCAGGTTCTGAGAAAATCAGCCTATACAAATATAGGAATAAGACTGAAATACAGAATATGCACAGAGAACACTTTTTTTTTTAAACAAATTATTAAAAAACATTAAAATCAAAGTTTGGTAAAAATTTTGACCTATTTTGTTGAATATCTTAATATGACTTCACTAACAGTGCATTTCAGAGACCTCACAATACAAATAAGTGTGATTTACCCACATAATGATGACATAGTACACCAAATATGGGGCATGATAATGTCATATAACACCCATATGTGAGCAAATCACATCTGGGTACAGTTTTTGTCACATCAAACCTGATTGTGTGAACAGAAATTTAAGCTGTATAAACTTAATTGATAGTTTCACATCTGGGATTTTAAATTATTTTTTGGTGAGAGTAACTATTAGTTTATGAGATTTAGTTGTATAGAGCGCTATATAAAAGGCTATATATTATTATTATTATTATTATTATTATTATTATTATTACTATTTGCTATTTACTTTCCTGCATACTAGTGGTAACAGGCTGGTAAATAATAAAAATTGTTTCTTTGTATTTGTTTTTTTTTTTTAAAGAAGTAAAATGAATCTTTATAATCTATTCCTGCCATTTCTATCTGTAGGCTTTGAATACGATATTTAAGATAGGATTCATGTGGTGTAAACACCAAGGATAACCCACGAAAGTCTGAAGAAGACTTATTTCCAGTGGTATTGTTCTGCTGGTGATTGGGCAGTACACCGGGAGACAATCCCCTACTCTTTTCCGAAGAGTGCCCTGCGTTTTGCATGCACGTGGGCCATAATGCATATGGGACCAACAACTTAAACGTCTCATCCGAAAGATAGTGCGCTATCGTAACTTGCATTTGAGCCCTCCAGCAGAAATACAAGGAAGTTAGCGATGGAAATTGAACCAGCGACCAAGAGGTTCCACGGTTCAGCGCATACACAGTGGCTACCACCAGTCTAGCCAACTAAGCTAAGGGGTTGTTCACAATTATCAACATTTTCACAATTGTACAAACAGTACTCTATTTCAGTACCCCTCCCTCCCCTCTGAAAGTGTACAAAAAAATGTTGATTTTGTAAAACCATTCTCCATTTTTGGGGGGGGGGGGAAGTCAACTAAAGCAATGTACTTGGTTGCTTAAAAATTGTCTCTTATACACATCT